CGACCCCGCCCTGGTAGCCTGCAAGAAGAATGCAGAACAGGGAGTGAGCTCAGAATTTCGAATCTCTGCCGATGGATTACTCCGTTTCCAAGACAGGATGTGTGTCCCAGATGACAGTGAGTTAAAGAGAGACATCATGATAGAGTCTCATAGCTCGAAGTTTGCCATGCATCCAGGAAGTACCAAAATGTACCAAGGCATGCGACCCCGGTTTTGGTGGAATGGGATGAAGAGAGACATAACCGACTTTGTATCCAAATGCTTGGTATGTCAGCAGGTCAAGGCAAGGCATCAGTGCCCAGGTGGGCTACTTCAGCCGTTACCGATTCCGGAGTGGAAGTAGGAACACATCACAATGGACTTCGTAACGGGATTACCCAAGGCACGTTCAGGACATGACACCATCTGGGTAATCATTGACTGGCTTACCAAATCTTCCCACTTCTTGGCCATCATAATGACCGACCCCTTGGACAAGTTGGCAAGAATGTATATCCGGAAAATAGTCAGATTGCACGGAGTTCTAGTGACAGTGGTATCCGACATGGACCCCAGGTTCACTTTTCAGTTTTGGAGTAGCTTTCAACAAGCCATGGGAACAAAGCTGTCTCTCAGTACTGCCTTCCATCCTCATACTGATGGACAATCAGAAAGGACAATTTGTACACTCGATGATATGCTCCGAGCATGTGTCCTTGACTCCGGAGGTCATTGGGACGACCATCTACCCCTGATAGAGTTTGCCTACAACAACAGCTACCAAGCAAGCATCGGCATAGCTCCCTATGAGGCGTTATATTAGCGCCCGTTCAGATCACTGATTTGTTGGAAAGAAGTGGGCGATAGAAGATTGTTCGGCCCAGAATTGCTAGAGGATACCACGTCTAAAATAGTTAAAATCAGAAAGAACATTCAGACGACTCAAAGCAAGCAAGAGAGTTATGCGGACACTCGAATGAGAGATCTAGCGTTTGAGAAATGCGACCGGGTATTCCTTAAGGTCACTCCTTTCAAGGGAATTAGTAGGTTCAGCAGGAGAGGAAAATTGAACTCCCGATTTATTGGACTTTTTGAAATCTTAGACATGATTGGTACTGCTGCCTACAGATTAGCACTGCCTCCAAAACTCTCCAAGGTTCATAATGTGTTCCACGTATCCTTGCTACGTAAGTACAACCTGGACCCCTCTCATATCTTGCCTCATGAACAGCTTCCACTCCAAGAGAACTTATTTTATGAAGAAGTACTAATC